CCTGCTTTAAAACATAACTTTCTTTAAATGCAAATGAGCTGCTGCTGGTCCCCTCCCCCTTTCAAGATGAGGGCGGAGTCTTTACAGCTTGTGCCTAGGATACGCAAGAGAAGCAAGTTTTCATTAGTTTTCTCAGTCATGTCAGGGGTCATGTTACAGTTAAACACCGTTAAGTGATTCACTGAGAAATTCTGCGCTCGCCGCCTGTAATGTTATCTTGCATTATGCTCACTATCATGGGCCCGTTCTTATTTTTGATTTTGTAAAATGTCTAAGAATCACAGCGAAAATGGAGCTCAATAAACTAGGGTAGGGGTCGGCAACCCAAAATGTTGAAAGAGCCATATTAGACCAAAAAAAACAAAAAACAAATATGTTTGGAGCCGCAAAAAAATGTAAAGCCTTATATAAGCCTTATAATGAAGGAAACACATGCTGTATCTATAGTAGCTATTTTAGCCTAATATAAAAATGACTAAGTTGGCTACAAATGAGCCTTCATGATTAAATAGCCACTGAAATCAGGTGGTTGGTGTTTATTTCGTTGTCATTTAAACACTTCAGCACAGCCTCTGGTCTTTCAGTGATATTAATTTGATCATTTCTTCTTGCGGCCCATCAGAGTTCATGCATAAAAGCGCATTGAATATCGGTCACATTACAGGCAATTGAGTATGCTGGCACTGAATTAATGTCCTTGGTTTGCTGATCGGTGATGTTACCTGCCATTTTAATAGCCCTTTCCTTCACTGTCTTAGCGGAGAGAGGTATGTCTTTAATTTTTTGTATCATCTTGGTTTTGTTTTTGAAGTCTGCAAATAGGTGTTCTGATATGTTAATGAATGACTCCTTTATGTAGTCACCATCTGTGAACGGTTTTCCGTGCTTTATTATCTCCTGGTTTGTTTACAACAGCCACCTGCCCGGCATCCCGCCCTGCTGATAGAAACCTGTGTCGCAGGCTATGACGCAAATCTTCGTTGACAGAAATGTTGAAATTAAATATTAATTCTACACACTTTTACAGCATTTGAAAACGTTAAAAATGTTTGTCCTCCAATAGAAATCATATTAAACAAAAATATATACTAACCTTCCCCATCTTGAACATTTTTGAAAAAACTTCAGGGAGCCACAAGGGCATCGCTAAAGAGCCGCGGGTTGCTGACCCCTGAACTAGGGTGTTAAGTAACTAATTACAAATACTCAAATTACTGTAATTGGTTACTTTTTCTCAGGGATTGTAATTTACTGAGTAGTTTTCAAAATGTGTACATTTACTCTCACTTGAGTACATTATTACTGCAGTATCGGTACTTTTACTCCACTACTTTCCTTCAACATGGAGTCACTACTTTATTATTTCTTGTCTTTGAGGATTAGAAAAATCAGTCCTGTAATTCCCGTCCATTCAAATCACACAAAGGTAAATCGCCTCATAATGAACTACCTGAAGATACGAGCGTTTTTTATAAATGCAGCAAACTGTTTGGAAGCATTAAAAGTGTCCAAGAAGATGTCCAAAATCTTTACACGCAATGACCCAGAGACTGTTTAGATGCATGTGACTGATGAGATGACAGATGTTTACTGTATGGAGACCGAAATGACACCCAGCAAGCACAAGACATCAACATGACGTCATATTAACGTTGTACCCCAATGTCGTGGGGATGTTGCATTTTGTTTAGTATTCACTATGATCTTCTATGTGAAGCTGCTTTGAAACATTTTACATTGTAAAAGCGCTATACGAATAAAGGTGAATTAAACTAAATTGAAAATCGGGTTGGACGTCAGAACTCAATGTCAGACCAACGTCAATGTCCAACCGAAAATCAACCAAATATCAACGTCTAATGATGCCACAGCTTGAAGTTGTGTGAACGTTACCACTTTGACGTCTATCAGATGTTGGATTTTGGTTGCCATACATCATAGATATATACACTAGATGTCGCCTGGCCTATTGTTGTCTATTGGACGGAATGCGTCAATAGCGCCGCCATCTTGCTACAGGGTAGCGCTCCTTTGAAATGAATGCGGGACCAAGGTACAGTGGAGGACTGTGGCCATGCAAAGCCAGAGATATACACATATACACATATATCTATGATCGGGAGTTTTCCTGGATGTTAGTATGCAATTTTTTTTTTTCTAATTACGAAAATTATAATTTTACATCACTTTTCTACATTGATGGATCGTTGACCGCACGGGCATTCCTGACAAAAAACTTGTGTTTGTGTGTACAGAAATGTACTATCCACCCTCCCTGTTAAATGTGATCTAATCATGTCCTGAAACACAGCTCCTCTCCTGCTTTCACTTCTCATGCTGACGGAGGGAGCGATTCGTTTGTGAATGAATCCCCCGAACGACTCTTTCACTAACATTAGGCGACAATAATACTTGTTTCTGGCAGCGCAGCATCTCGTTGTCATATATCTTTTGTATTGTTTGCTGATTTTATTCAACAAAACTAGCATAAGCCGAGTGTTTAGTGTGAGTTGGAGCTGCTTTGCCGTATGGTGAATGCAGTAAGTGACTGTTATCATCAATAACGTGACCTGATTAGCACAAAAGTTCAGAACATACAAAAACAGAAAAAAACTTAATCTTTTCTATGAAATGTTCTGCCTTTGTGCTTTGATTTCTTTGTTTGCTCGTTACTACACCCGTAGACAGCGCTTAAGTCCAGCATCTTCATGTAATAACACTGTCTTGACTAGTGCGGTTGAATGACATTTGTCCTGGGAGCACTGTACCAATGTGGCGGCGCTATTGACGCATGCTCAGGGTCCCTATGCGATATCTAGTGTATATATCTATGGCCATACATGAATAAATATCAGTATTTGACGTCAATATGATGTTGGTTTAAGATGTTGGCTCGACGTTGGATTTTGGTCACTTTACAACACAACTTAAAATCGACGTCATTTAACGTTATTAGACGTCAAAATAACAGTATCCTTAGACGCTGACTAGACATTGAATTTTGGTCACTTGACATCACAACCTAAATCTAACCTAATATTAACGTCCTATGACGTTGTGTGCCTTCTGGGCAATAACTACATGCACTACAGAATGTTACGTTTGCACACACGCACACATATTACATGTAGTACTTTTTACTCTACTTGCACTACATTTTTAGGCAAGTAATGGTACTTTTACTCAAGTATGATTTTTTCAGTAGTCTTTTTCACAGCTGTCAATAAGTCTCCATCTTGATTACAGATCATGATGGATTTCTCAAAGAGGGAATAACAAAACTCTTACCTGAGACAGTGTGTGGGAGCTCGAGTGCCCAGCAAGCGCACCGCTTGACGTCATTTTGACAGTGAAGTGTCGCTGTTTGATTCGTAATGGTAATCAAGTCGTCATGTCCGTGGTGGAACTGCAATTTATGTTTGTAAAGTACACCCATCGTAATTTTATCAGCCATATAAAAACAGACCAAGAAAATGTCGTATATGTGTCTGTTCAAATCGCAGATTTTGGAATTGTACCCTCGTAAAATTACGAGTACAATCTGTTTTCCTTTACGATTTTATAATTACAGATGCGTGAATTTTATTTACGCACTTAATATTTCTGACAGCGATTTTATTCCGTAGTTTTCTAAATAAACTCTACACCAATGTTTATATAGGAATGTATTACTACCTGTTTTTCTGTTTCTATTTAGGAAATGATGACCAGCCCATGAATACAGATGAAAAGAGCCAAACAGACGTGTTTATCTCCATTCAAGCATTCCCTGCGCTAGTTGACATCGCTAACATGTCTGAGATTAGCCGGATTAGCTGTGGATCCCGTCATACAGCGGCCGTCACCAGTAAAATCCACAACATCTGAACACGGAGCACAAACTAGCGCATGAACACCAAAAATAATCACTCTTTTCTTATTTCGTTTAGGTGCTGGAGATCTGTACACATGGGGATGGGGTAAGAGTTTGCTTTCTGTTAATTATAAATGTAATTACCTACAGGAAATGAGGACAGAATTGTAATTTTTTTGTGCACTGTCCCTTTAAGTACGCTTTGTGTGTTCTGATAGGTCAGTATGGGCAGCTGGGTCACGGCACTGAACACAGCACAGATGAGCCCACGCCGGTGGATTATTTCTCCTCTCACAGTTTGAGTGTCAAAGATGTTGTTTGTGGGTCGTGGAACACTTTTGTGTCCGTGGTGCCAAAGGAAACATCCTCTGTCCTGACAGAAACACACCCGGGTTTATTAAATTAGGTACAAATATATATAAGATCCAACATTCAAGATAGAAAGTAGAGGTGAAAACTGCTTTCAAACATATAAACGGTAAAAATGCTTAACAAGAGAGTACATTCATAATTAGGACGCTACATTATTGGAGAGATTATTGAGGTGCAGGTGAAACATCCGGACCGGAAGCAGCAGCGGTGGAAACTTCACAACACGATCTTGAATGAACTGCAGAAAAAACATCGACAGTCAATGAGGATCAGAAGAAATGCTGCACTCAAGACAGAACTCTGAACGATGTTTGGATGTTAATTATGTGATTTTAGTCAGAATAAAGTTGTAGATTTTTGTCAATTATGTTTTATTAACTGATTCTTTGGTTGCTTTATTAATTCTGTGCTGGAAGAGAGTATGATGGGAAATTAAATTACATTCTGCAATTATCCAAACTAACTAACAAAGAAAAATTAGAAACACTGCCTTGGCAATTTAGTTACGTAATTTTTTTCATTCATTCATTTTCCTTCGGCTTGTTGTCTATTTCAGAGGTTGCCACAGTGGAATGAACCACCAACCATTCCAGCATATGTTTTGTGCAGTGGCTACCCTTCCAGCTGCAACCCAGTATTGGGAAACACTCATTCACACACACACACACACACACACACACACACACACACACACACACACACACACACACACACACACACACAGAACATGCAAACTTCACACAGAAATGCCAACTGACCAAGCTGGACTCAAACC